TTTCATGTTTATGGTGGATCTTCAGATCCTTTGGTAGGAGGCAAAAACCACACAGAAAAAGTGGTGATGTATCTCATGAAGGAAAAATTAGGAAACGACCATTCTTTGTTCATGGAAAATTTTTATAATAGTTATTCTCTCTCGGCCAAACTCCTGTCTAAAATGACTTACTCAACTGGTACGTTGCGGTTGAATAGAAAACACGTACCCGAGGATGTAAAATCAACAGTTTTGAAGAAAGGGGAAACAATAGCGAGATATGGCGAGGGTATAATGATAGGGAAGTGGAAAGACAAGAGGGTGGTTACATATATAAGTTCTCAGTATGAAAATGAAATGGTAGATTTCTTGACGAAAAGGAGGACCATAAAGAAAAAGCCATTGCCGATTGTTCAATATAACTCTTATATGAGTGGAGTTGATCGGGCAGATCAGCTACTATCATATTATCCATGTGATCGTAAGACTCTCTTCTGGTACAAGAAGATTTTTATTCATGTTCTGCAGATGCTACTGCTGAATTCCCACAATCTCCACAATAAATATATGCGGAAGATGTCGTTCTACGATTTTCGATTGAAAGTCATTAGTGCACTATTGCCTCAACTTGTTGACGCTCCAGTTGAAAGTCCTGCTCAGAAAAGGCTTAGGGAAAATGTTCATGTCATTGCCAAAATTGAAAAAGAGGGCCCGGGAAGGAGGGGAAGAAAGAAATGCAGGGTGTGCCACAAGAACAAGACCCAACGTTTGACACACTATTATTGCAAGACCTGCCCAGACAAACCTGGACTATGCATGGGTAAATGCTTTGATGAGTTTCACAAGTAAGGAGAAGAAAATAAGAAGAAGAGGATAAGTTGTAAATACATTTTATAACCTTAGCTTTTGTGTTTAGAACTAAGAAAAACTTTACTGTTACATGTGTTATAGACTTTAGTGAATTCATGTGAGGGACAAATCACTCGTAGTTATATATTTTTTATTTAGTCTTTTTCAATGGAGACTTTAGTAAATTTTTGTGGGACAATCAGATATGTATGTGGAAATAAGATGACAGTTCGTCGACCCGAAAAAACACGCGCGGCCGGCATCAATACAGCGCGCGCGGCCGGCAACACTACAGCGCACGCGGCAGGCATCACTACCTGGTGGCGATGGGTACCATATGGATACCTAACTTTGAAGCCATAATTTCAAGGTAAATGTTGTTGTAATCAAATTTATAACTATTATTATGTATTTCTACCATAAAAATGTAAGTTTTTATTATATAAAAAAATTTCAGATTTTGGGTGAATATTTAAATTATACCGTAGCACTCAATGTGTTAAGTGAAAATTATCGTGTGAGCTATGTCAGGTATTCAAATGCCTCCCAATTTGTCATTAACCCACCACATTACTGTCATTAAAAGAAGAGCTCAAATAATACTAATGCGAAACTTAAATCCACGGATGCTGTGCACGGAACCAGACTGTCGATTAAAATCATTACACCAAATCTGACTCAAACAACAATCATACATACATACATGATACATGATACATGATACATGATCTCTCCGTCCGTAGTCCTTTGCCTTAAGGAATTGGACAGGTCAGGGTTAATACAAAGAATAACCAGCTTAATACTAATTTTTGTCACCGTCTAGGTAACTGTCTATGTCCTCTAAACTTAACTCTACTAGATATTTTTTTAATTCTGATTTGAATTTTGTTAAGCTCTGAATTTCAAGTAATTTTTTCGGTAGGGCCTGGTACAATTTTATTCCCATGTAATCTGGTTTGTGTTCAAATTTTGTGAGTTTATGTTGGACTGCATGTGTGCCCTTTGTTCGTGTGTTGTAAGTGTGATTTGTAAAAGTTGGTTTAATGTTCTGTGATTTTATATAGCAAACTGATTCATAGATATAAAGTGAAGGGACTGTGAGAAAGCCAAGTTCTTTATAAACATTTTTGCAGCTGGTCCGAGGCGGCATGCCCAAGATTGCTCTTACTGCCATATTCTGCCAAACAAAGATCTGGTCAATATTCTTCTTAACAGCTCCCCATAGAATGATTGAATACAAAATGTGCTGTTCTATTAGGCCAAAATACACAAGTTTAGAGAGAGCCAGGTTTCCGAAGGTTCTTATTCTTCGAAGTACAAAGACCCCTCGTGCCATAGACCCCTCCAGTTTTTTTATTTGTGCATCCCAGCTCAATTTATCGTCCAATCTCACCCCCAAAAAGTCGGCAGTTTTTGAAACTAAACTATTTGTTAGTTTAGTTACTTACTTTACTGTTTACTGTCGTTTACTTACTACATGAGTAGTAAGTTTAAACGAGAAATAGTCTTAATCCCTAGAATACCGATGATGATTTCATCTGAATTACCTTTTGAATTGAGGCGACTATAATTTCCTTTCGTCTCTCTTTCGCAGTCACCATTATAAGACACAAGGACAATCGCTGACTGTCGCCGGCTTAAGTTTAGAAAGAGATAGTAGGTACGCCTAAAAAACTTGAATATTTATAAACCAAATGAAAAAAAAAAACATAGATTATCCACTGGCAATTAAAAGAATACAATTCTATTTTTGTTTTTGCTGCGAGGCTTTGTCAAAGATATAAAGATTTTGGTAGGCTATACGTTTTTATTATTCATTGTAAAGAAGAAAAAATACAATTTCAAATAATAGTTATTAGCGCAGCAACGCACGCTGGATAACTGCTAGTTTTAAATAATAGTCCATGTATGAAGATAATATGTGAAGATTTAAATCTCGTGTTGTTAATACAACCCGAGATATAAATATTGTAATAACGTGTTATTTCTAAAAAGGTCAATTTCATATTGTGTTGTGGTTTGTAGTTTGTCTCAAAATTTTCTGATTTTAATGATCAATAGCCCAAATAATTAAATGACAGCCCTTACAACACTGAATAGTTTAAGGCTAGAACGGACTGCAAGTGTTAATAATAACTGGAGATGTAAGAAATATCATTTTAAAAAAAGTTCAAAGTACGAAACGATCATAAGAAATGTATGGGGTAGAGTTTTCGTTTGAAAACTAAAAAGGATATCTAAAAAAAGTATTCCAGAATTGAAATCATTGTAAAAATCTAGTTTAAATTGATGTGTCACAAAACTATCCTACCTTGTACAAAAAGAACCATACAGTTTTATAGAATTTATGTCTGGCTAATTGTATCTTTTTTTGATATATTGTCTATCTTATTTATTAAATGTTATTATTTTAGTTCTTATTGACGACTGAGATGTATAATTGTAAAAAATTGTACCTATTCAGAAAATAAATGACTTATGACTAACTATCATTACATTTAAACTATTTTATTTATATCCAATATGTCATTCCAAGATGGCGGTCAAAAAAGGATTATCTATCGAAATTAGGAACTAGAAAACGAATAAATATCAGCAGTGGTACCAAGTCAATTTCTCGAAAAATGTTCTTATAAATGCACGTGTTTTTTTAATTTGTCAATTTTGGGAAAAGTCACCATTTTAATAGTCGTTTTAGGGGTTTTCGGTGGACTTTTTAAAAATAACTTTTAGTATGTCACTCTGCAAACCCAACACTAAAAATAAAACTATAAAACGTTTCATTGAACATTTTTTAAGGTAATTTCTTATATTTCCCTAACTACTACTGTAATTGTCTATTATGAAAAATTGAATTTTGGTATGTTTGAAAACGTCTACTTTTTCAGTGTTCCCATGCTCGGATTTTGTCGGATATTTGTTTGTATATTATCCTCTATAAATGATTTCAAAATATGGCTTAAATTTTCTTAAAGTAATTTTTCCTACCTCAAAGTGTATTTCACCTGGATTAGATGTAGCGGTGCAGCGCGTGTCACGGCTAGCGTTCCAAGTTGAAGACTAATAACAAATATATCCCATAATATATCCCATCTTCAAAGCAATATACAAACTGATGTGATAATTATTATTGTTCAAAATTTAATGCAGATTATTTTAATAGCCACAAAATATGTATGTTCATATCACCCAAGTTTGTATTTGCAAAAAATTAAAGGTTTTACTAAAAAAAATCTTTGAAATTTGGTATTTTGTAAATTTAAAGCTGTCTCATAAAAAAAAAAATAAAAAAAAAAACATTAAATAATATAAAAGTTGGTGTTATCTTGAAGTAGACTTAATGAGGAAGCTATTAAAACAAACCAGAGATTTTTAAGACGCTTAGTTGTCAAACTATATCCATTTTACTAAAAGCTTACATAAATCCAATATGGCGGAAGCTTTTTTCCAATATGGCGGCTTTCCGCCACTTAGATTTTTCTCGATTTTTATGATGTTGTGGACCCCTTTGTTGACAGAATCCCATATATTTCATTTCTATTGCTTTAAGTTCGATGTTAGGCTTATTTTTACTCTAGATTGACTAGCCTATATCTTGCTGTCTCTGTGACACCAGTTACAATCCACTTCCCCAGTTTACAACCCTTAATGACTGCGTCAACGGATATCTTGCGGTCACGGCAACATCGGTCATCGTCTTCCGCGATCACGGCAACTCTCGTGAGGATATCTTGTAGTCACGGCAACATCGGTAGGCCTAATCGCCTTCCGCAATTGCAGCAACACTCGTGAGGATATCTTGCTGCATCAGCGACAGCGACAGTCGTCTACCGTGATAATGGCAGCACCCGTGATCGGCCACACTAAGTCGGAAATCCCAAGGAGTCAATTATGCCAAGGTCGGATATAAGGGGTTCTACTGTACTTGGGTTCAATAATTGGTTACATATCTGTAGCATGAACATAGAAGTCATTGAGTATAGTAACAATGGCACTTCTAGCAACGGTTTTACCTCTAGAGGTGTTCATATTAAGTTATTGATATTTGACAGAACTAATAAAACAATAATCCCTAAAATTGAATAAACATTTAATTTTAGTTCTCTTTATATTACTATGTGGGTAAAAAGGTCTCAACAGTCCAAAAATGATATATAACTTCTTTGACTCACCCTTTAAAGAACAAAAAGTTCACAATTCGTCCTTTCGGTCCTCGGTCTAAAGATTGTAGTCTTTCAATGTCTTCTTGAGGCAGTTCAAAATCAAATATCTACAAATTAGCAATTGAAAGTTAAAATGTTGTGAGTCCTACTCCTAGTTACCACTCTCTTGGACATTGCAAACTCAACAAAGTTAATTCCAAAATTATTCTACATTTTTGACAATTTTTTCCTATATGATAGATAGTTAAACCTCTTAAAAAGTTCTATGAATAGTTGGGTTAGTAGGGAGTAGTTTATCCTCAGTAACAAATAATTGTATGTTTGTACATTTACATTTCATCAACCTATTTTTATATAGGGTGATTACCGAGAAACGCATGTTTTAGCAAATTTCCCATATAGGGAATAAGCTATTACCATAGTACTCATGGTAAGACCTGGACCCGGGACCGATTTAATTTTTCATTTTGAGGTCCCTAGAGGCCAAAAACACCATCCGTTCAAATTAATATAAAAATATATATTAATATATATATTGTGTCCGTTAGCGCGATAACTCGAGCAAAAATGATCCGATTTTGATGAAATTTGGTACCCAAACCTGTAAACCTACGTTTATTCAAACGAGTTCACGATCCAGCATAATCGGACCATGGGAACGGGGGTTTATGGGGTAAAAATGGGTTTTTCCCATTTTTGACCCTAAAAACTAAAAATTTTGCAATTTCTTCCTAAACCGTTTTGTAGAGCTTAAAAAAATAAATAATTTAGTATTTCATTTCAAACAATCTTTATTCTTTTTGTACATATTTACAGTACATTGAACAGTGTCGAACAGTGATTCTTTATTATACTTAACACGATGACTGCTGAAAACAACGTACAGGCGCTCCCCAGTGGCGGGCGAAGCCCCGGCACGCAACCGAATCAGCGAACGCAATTGGCATTCAAATATTTCAGTCTGACGAATCACAAAAGAGCAGTGGTGACTGTGCTGCGTTACCCCGAGAGTGAATGTGTAGTTCACTGAAACACCCAAAGGTAGCAGCACTGCACGGATCCGTATCCAGTGTCTTTGTAATGTGGGTTGAAGAGAAAAAATCCCCGAAACCGGGACAAAAGCATTGCCAGACAGGATTTTACGGGAAATTTTAGTACCAACCTACACCAAAGTAAAGCTCGCATTCTAAGCTGGCAGGCTGGCAACGATTATAACGTCTCCGTCTGAGGCTACGCTCACACTGACTCAATATATTTCTGTTGGTCTGGTGCCGACTTTTGTCGGCGCGCGCCACATTGAAGTGCTAGCGACGTGTTAAAACTATTTTCTAACTTATTTCTACCATTTTTTACCATAAAAGAAGGTTATTTATACTATTACAATAGAGATTCTCAACAAAACAAATAACAATCATAAATAAAATAAGAAAGCAGTAAAATATTCCAAACATCCAAAAGCCCTTCAAGTCCCAGAAGTTTTTGAATTAAACTCTGGGTGAAGAAATTCTTGTATATTATACAATGCTTTAGTTGTTATAAAATCTTTAAGTTTCCTTTTAGCGAATTTCCCATATAGGGAATAAGCTATTACCGTAGTACTCATGGTAAGACCTGGACGCTGAGTGAAGTAACTAGACAAAGTGGTGATATTATTCTTAACTGATAGTTCTGTCTCACTAAAAGTTTTATCAGATATTTTTAAAGTGGCATCATCAGCATATAGAACTAGTTTACTTGTGCCAGTCGGTGTTGGTATGTCTGCCAAATAACAGTTTAAAAACAAAGTTGAGAGTATTGATCCCTGTGGTTTGCCATTTTTAATTTCTAAAAGTTGAGAGTTGTAATAATGTTTGAAGTTGTTAGAAAGGTTTATGATTTGGACAAACTGTTTCCTATTGGTGAAATATGATTTTATCCAATCAAAAGCTCTATCTTTAATACCTATTCTATGCAGCTTGTCTAATAAAATTGGGTGGGAAACAGAGTCAAACGCTTAACTCAAATCTATAAAAATTCCAATCACTTTTTCATGATTATCTACTGAATCAATAACTGATAATAGTATATTGAAGCGCTGTTGTATTCCTAACGGTCACGGAGAAAATTCAAAAATAGTATAATTTAAAATTCCCATGTTATTCTTATGGAGAAAATGAAAATTGTTGTAGTTTACTTGTTTATGGATATATATTGATAACATTTGGCAAATTTATTTATTTCATCCTATACTATTGAGGTATGGTCAAAAAACACTTTTTATCTTCCCCGTAGCAGCAAACCTAAACACTCGTTAAATCTGATGTTATTTAAATAGGGAATAAGTATGTCTTATTTATGGAAATATTTTAGTAAAAATGTAATCAGACAAGTTGAAATTCGCTTAGTCTGCAGGTTTGCTGCGGCGGGGGTATTTCAAGTAATGAGTATTCAGGCAATTCAGAGAAAAGATTATATTTATGAGTGGAAAAACAGTGTACACAATATGCAATTTCAGAATAAAATTACTTACAATGTATTGTTTAAAAATTTCGTCTCTAAGATGGTCGCCTTCTGCTTGGTATGGAATTCCTTCATCGAACATTCCCTACAAGAGTTGTCACACGTTTTGTTGATGTCACTTGGCTTTCTCGCTCACCGGATCTTATAATTCCAGATTTCATTCTATGGGGTTTTTTGAAATCTAGAGTTTACATAAACAAACCACAAACAATATAGGAACTTAAAGAAGCTATTCGCCAGGAAATCAACGCCAATCCTAGAGACATGTTAGGAAAATCCGAAGCAAGTTTTAAGGAACGCCTTCAACACTGTATCCAAGCAGAAGGCGACCACCTTAGAGATGTAATTTTTAAACACTAAATTCTAAGTAATTTTATTCTGAAATTGCATATTGTGTACACTGTTTTTCCACTCATAAATATAATTTTTGCTCTTAATTGCCTGAATACTCCTTATTTGAAAAACATGCGTTTCTTGGTTATCACCCTATATTTTTTATCACACTATACTCAGTTTAATGTTTAGATCACTGTATTTGCTTGTTAGGGTTGGTTTTAACCAATTCCCCACTAGAAAAACAGGCCATGCTGCAGGATCCATGACATCACACTAGTGGATAGATTCATTGATAAATTCATTGCCGTTGTCATTCCCATATGTTTTAGGTAAATAAACAAGCTGGCTTTTTGTAAGAGTTTAGTACAACTATCCACCACTGTGACATAGTGTTGCGCTGCCAGTCCTGCAGCATGGCCTGTTTTTCTAGTGGGGCCTTGTTTTAACATAATAGAGTACTCCATACCAATTATCATAAATAAATAATACTCCACCGTAGCGAACTTGCAGACTAAGCGAGTTTCCATTTTCCTGATTTTATTTCAAATAACATTAGATTTAATGAGTACCTGGTTTGCTGCTACACGGAGGGTAATGAAGTGTTTTTTTTTGTATTTTGTAAAATATTAGTAGCTTAGTATAAAATAAATAAATTTGCAAATTTTGATCAAAATATGTCTATAAACAAGCAAACTACAACAGTTTAATTTCATATTTTGAGTTGTTTTGTCTCTGGATCACAGAACAAACTATAAAAGGTATAAAATTACTGTTATTAAACCGTTATTATCCGTAAGGAACAAACAGGATCATTCTGGTAGTACTCAGATAATTTTATACCTTTTATAACAGTTTAATCTTCAAGAAGAACCGTTAACATGGACCTATATAATTTAAAATAGGTACTGCCCAAACTAAGGCAAAATTGGAGCGGCAAAATGATCTGACAGTTTTCTTTGCCGCCTTGTTGGGGGAGTGAGTGGTGGAGGGTGTTGGGAATAGGGGTGCCCAAAGCCTAGGGTTTTATTAGCCATGGAGCTGTGGACGACTGAGCACCGTGCGATTGTAGTGGAAGTGTTTTTTAAAAGTTGCAATCGCTGTGTAGCTGTTCAGCGGCAGTTCCGTAGACGTTTCAGTGTGGGTCTAAGATGAAAATTCCAACTCGAAACACAATTTTGCTGTGGGTGGGTAACTTCAGAGCTACTAGTTCAGCATTGAAACACAGATCAACAGGCCGTCCAAGGTCATTCCCGACGCCAGAGAACGTCAAGAGAGTGAGAGAAGCTGGAGCTGTGGAAGCTAGTCCTACAGCTCTGCACATGTCTGGCCGCTCGGTTGAAGAATATAACGATACAACCTGCACTTTCATCCATACAAAATAGCAATCGTGCAACAGTTGAAGCCCAGTGCAGTGGTTAAGCAAAGCGTAACTCATTTTAAGAATAAGTGATTGATTTGCTTACAGGTGACAAAATTGTCAATATGAGCGACGAAGCGCACTTTAAACCACACCACACAGTCTTCCTCAATCTCTTGAAGTTCTCTGGCATCTGAGCTGACCTTTGTTGATTTTAGTTTCAATGCTGAACTAGTAGCTCTAAAGATACCCACCCTCAGCAAATGTTTTGATTTGGGACTTTTCCTCTTGAACCCACACTGAAACGTCTACGGAACTGCCGTAGAATCGCCACTTTAAAAAAACTCTTCCACTACAAACGCATGGTGCTCAGCCGTCCACAGCTCCATGGCTACTAAAAATGTCCGCACGTATGCTCTGGAACGCACCTATTACCAGCACCCTCCACCACTCACTCACTCGACAGGCCGGCAAAGAAAACCGTCAGATCATTTTGCCTCTCCCTGTATTTTATAATTAAAATTTATAAAATAAAATCTATAAATTTATAAAATTATAAACCTATAAAAATCTTTATCCAAACATTTGTTTATCAGTTCAAATTTGTAAACAAAAAGCTACCATATCAAAATTATTCCAAATCATTTGGGATACACATTGTAATGATCCTTCTGTTTCCATGAAAATAAGTATATTTTCATAAATATTTTAATTAAACTATTCTCATAAGCATAAAACTTTAGAATCTTGGGAGCAGAACCTGTACCTCTTAATCTCTGCTGTTTGAACTGTCAAATTATTGTATTTACAGCTGACTTCAATTAATATTTTTGACTGTTTACATTCTTCCAAAATGTAAACATTGAAACTTTGGAAGCCCATGGGGCGTAGCCCAAGGGAAGTATGATAACAGGA